AATGGGCAGAAGACATGAAAAGACATTTCACCAAAGAGGACATTCAGGCGGCCAACAAACATATGAACATACGCTCAGGATCATTAGCCAATAGAGAGATGCAAATCAGAACAACAAGGAGATAACTATCTTGCCCCAGCACTAGTAGCAAAGTTCAACAGGACAGAAAATAACAAATGCTGGGGAGGATGCGGAGAGATTGGGGCTCTCATACACTGCTGGTGGGACTGTCAAATGATAAAACCACTGTGGAAAGCAGCATGGCAATTCCTTAAAAAGTTAGAATTAGAAATACCATTTGACCCAGCCATTCCATTACTAGGTATATATCCTAAAGAAGTGAGAGCCATGACAAGAACAGACATGCACACCCATGTTCATTGCAGCACTATTTTCAATAGCCAAAAGATGGAAACAACCTAGGTATCCATCAACTAAAAAATGGATAACTAAACTATGGTACATACACACAATGGAATTCTGTGCAACCCTAAAGAATAATGTAGAATCTGCAAAACACCACTTAAAATGGATGAACTTGGAGGGCATTATGCTGAGTGAAATAAGTCAATCACAGAAGGACAAATATTGTATTAGTTTGTTATTGTAGAAAGTCAAGGAAAGGTTTATGCATGGAAGGAAATTTTCTTTGTTGGTTATCAGGGGTGGGAGGGCAGGCGAGGGAACACAGATAGATAGAGACAAGTATTGATTTAGGTGAAGAGAAGGGCAATGTAACAAATGTGAGTGATCAACATGGTGGTATTGAGGAAATGGAAGACATAGAGTGGTGCATGGAAGGTACAGAAAATAAAGATGAACCTTTTTGCACATACAGTACTGCATTATCAATGAAGGCAAACATGGATATACGGGTGGATAGATGGGTGGAAAGGCTTAACTATTACATTTGTCTAGCGTAGTGCCTAAGGCACTTGACTGCTGACCAGAAGGCTGGTGGTTCAAACTCACCAGCCACTCCTCGGAAGGAAGGTTGGGCAATCTACTTCCCTAGTGATGCTGCCTCGGAAACACGAGGGGTCGCTATGAGTCGAGTCCAACTAGATGGCAGATAACAACAACACAACATGCAGGGGGGAGTGTGCCCAAGACCATGTATAGGGTTGGCAGACAGTATTTCCACAAAGTGTATTGGTATGTTCTGTAAGAATTCCCAGGTACATAGTAGAGCTGACAAGGGACAAGACTGTAGTCACTTCTTGGCCACGGCCAGCTACCCAGAGGGAGTTGGACCTGTGGGCTCAGACCATAGTTGCAGGGCACATCAAGGTCAATTGGCATAACCTACTACACAAAACATTATTCCACACCCTACTTTGGCGAGTATCAACTGGGATCTTAAAAGCTTTCAAGCGGTCATCTACATGAAACAATGCATCTCTCCTCATCCAGAGCAAAGAAGAATGGAGACAACCAAAGATTCATGGAAAAAATTAGTCCAAGTGACTGGTATAACATGTGACCCTCAGCCTATACAACTATGAGACCAGAAGAACTAGATGGTGCCTGGCTACCACTGTCAACCACGTAGGGGGATCTATGTAGGAGATCTGGATAGAGTGGGAGAATAATGTAGAACGAAACTCAAAATCATTAAAAAAAAAAGGGACCAGACTTGCTGGTCTGATAGAGCCTGATGGAACCACTAAGGCTTATCCCTTAGCTGCCTTTCAGGTTTGGAATTGAACCCACTTCTGTGGCTTCCAGCCAAACAAAATACAGGCATATGAGGTGAACAATTACATTAGGTAGATACACTCCTTGGAGAGAACAATCATGGGAGAATAGAAGAGCTGTGTACACACAGGGAGACAGCCCAGGGGGCAGAAGTGCATGGAGCGAAGGACACAGGGAAGAGGTATGGGGAGGAAGTAGGAGGAGAGCTGTTGCATTGTGGTAAATCGTAGTAAATGTCATGAGACAAAGTGTATGTGAACTGCTATATGGAAAGTGAATTTGCTCTGTAAACTTTCACCCAAATCACAATTAAAAACAACAAAAAAGAATCTATGGAAACTTGTCATTATCATAACTGAAGTGCAACCAATAATTTGGACAATATAAACCACCATATCCCATCCCTCTTATTATCACTAATAACTGTATATAAATAAAACTGTATATCAACACTGTTTTAACTTCCTAATGTCTTTTATCACATTTTTTTTTCTCCCTCAGCCTAAATATTCATCTCCTCTTCACCTATAGAAGGTCTACTCACCCTTCAAGGATCATGTCCAGTTCAAATTGCTCTTTCTCTGTAAAGTCCTCACTCAATCACCCTTGAATTAATCATGTTTCATACCAAAAAATAAATAAACAAACTCACTGTCATTAAGTCGATTCCAACTCATAGGGACCCTCTTTGGGTTTCTTTACAGGAATAGATTGTCTCATCTTCTTTCTGCAGAGAGCTGGAAGCTTTGAACCACCAACCTTCTGGTTAGCAGTCACATGCCTTAACCACAGCACCATCAGAGCCCCTAACTCATTTCCCATAGGATATCATATGTATCTTAAATTATCATTTATTTCTTTAGGACTTTAAAATATTATTCAAAAGTTTATAAAACAAATCCATAGCCATTGAGTCAATTCCAATTCATAGCAACCCCATGTGTTACAGAGAGGAACTGTTCCACAGGGTTTTCTTGGCTGTAATCTTAACAGAAACTGATTATCAGGTCTTTCTTCCACAGAGTCAGTAAGTGGGTTCAAACCAGTAACCTTTAAGTTAGTAGTCCTATATAAACTGTTTATATCACCAAGGGCTTATACATTCCATTAAATATGTCTTATAGTTAGAAGCTACTTTATATTTTAAAATCTACACATAAGTAAGATCGTCATCATAGTCGTCATCTGCCATCTAGTCAGACCTGACTCATAGCAACCCCTACTTGGGTTTCAAAGGCAGTATCACTACGGAAGTAGACTGCCCAACCTTCCTTCCGAGGAGTGGCTGGTGGGTTTGAACTGCCAGCTTTCTGGTTAGCAGTTAAGTGCCTTAGGTACTACGCTACCATAGCTCCTATAAATAAGATCATATATGAATTTTTTTTTTTCATTGTAGAAAATTCAAACAATATTGAAAACCCTCTTTCCAACTTTAATTATACTCACTCTCCCTCCCAGATGTAAGCACTCTTAGCCTTTGGCATGCATCTTCCCATGCCTTTTCCTTTGCATTTACGTACACATAAACAAATGTGTGCTAAAAAAGAAATATTTAGACTGCTTTTCAGTATTTTTCCCATTAATTGGCTTATTTTCTACAAATGATGCTATAATTTTAAAATTTACTAGTATGTCTTCAACATCACAGTCAGTTAATATACATTTACTTCATTGATGAAGACTAGATATGCAATGGGGTGAGCCATTTTCCTACTGAAGACTGCATCAAAGTTTCTGCCATGCATCACTGTTACTTAGTGTGGACTCTCACTTTACCACAACCTAACACAGTGACTTACACAATAAAGCACTTCAACATTTAATGAGTGGAAACTGATTTCATCTAATTCTGAAGATTTTTAAAAACGTACATATAGTGATACAGGTAGTCAATGTTCTAAAGATGGATCTATTTATTTTTGGTTTTATTTTAGTGATCCTAGGTTCCTGATGGTTCTGTGGTAGAATTTTCAGCTTTCATACAGGGGACCTATTGCCTGAGTTTGTACCTCAAATGCAGCCACCATTTATCTGTCATTGGAGGCCTGCATGTTGCTATGATGCTAAACACATTTCAGCAGAGCTTTAGGACTAAGACAAACTAGGAAGATAGATATGGTTGTCTACTTCTGAAAAATCAATCAATGAAAATCCTATGGATGACAATGACTAACACCATTGTGTATGTGGTCACCACAGCAGCTAACAACAGCATCAATAGATTTGTATTATCAAGGCAAGCAAGTAATTTAACTTTTTACACTGCCTTTTAAATGTGCTCCAAGCTACCTTCACAGTAAAAGAAAGTTATCTCAAATGGATTTTTTAAATAAATGATTTATTGCATCTTGATAGTTTGACAGCACAGGGGAAAGGGTAACCACTGTAGCAGGAAATATGGGATGCAGGTTCAGTCCCTAACTAGGCAAGGGATTATAGGTTAAATCAGTCTGAGCTTCCTAATCTATTAGGTGAAAAATACTTAAAGCAAATTAATGTCTTAAACTGGAAATACAAATTAAATATAATCTTGTCTGCTTAATTTAAGAAAATCTCAAATCAGATTGAAAGCTCAGAATAACAAAGATGTAAATTATAAGAAAGCCTGTTGTTCTACAAAGAAATGTGTAGATGACACACTCTAAAATGGAACAGATTGTCTGAAGTTAAAGCAGGTTTGTTTTGGCTTGGCCATCCAACCTAGTGGCCCATGGCAAGGAACTGTAACTATTTTGAGAGTCAACTTCTCCCCATACTACAGGGATATCAAACTATAGTTTGTCTAAAAGATAAAGATTTTTGGTTTAGTTTGTTCCTTTGTTTTCACTTTTTAATTTACCAACTGGGAGACATGAAACAGACAGCATTTCACCCACCAGATAGGGAATAAAATATTAAACACATTGCTGCCAAGTCAATTCCAACTCATGGCGACTCCATGTGTTATAGAATAGAATTTCTCCATAGGATTCTCTTGACTGAAACCTTTACAGAAGCATGTCATGAAGCATTTCTTCCATGATGCCATTGGATAGGTTTGAACAACCAACCTTCAGGTTAGTAGCCAATTTCAAACTGCCTGTGCCACCCAGAGATATTTTTTAAATGTTCATATTCTCCAGTGACAAACTGTAGTGTTGTATCCAATTTACTTGTATGAATTGCCATGACAGGGAAAAATCAAGCAGGATAAAAGGAAAATCATAGTTCACTTTTTCCTCTTTAAGCTTTTTTAAAACCCTAATCTTAACATTTCACCATAATCCCAGCCTGGAAATGTGGCTCTTTCTAGAGTTTCACACTTTTAGGTGGGATTTCATAGTTCTGGGTAGTTTTTCTTGTCGTATTCTTTTTCCTTCATTCTGCTTTACAACAAAGGCTGACTGAAGTTTTATTTTGGAAAGGAAAGATTTTTCCTGTGTCAAATAATCTTTCACAAAAACTTTCTGAAAATGTGGTTGCAACAGATGAAGCTGATTTGTCTGAGATCCCCAGGCCTAAAGCCTTTTAACCTCTTCAGGCAAACTCAAGTTGTTCAACTTGGCATTCTTGACAGTAGTCAGGTCCAGGTGGAGAAGCACGTATTTCCACATTTAAATGGGTGGTAATTAGCAGTACATCAGACACAAAGAGATCCAGCTGTATCAATTTAGCAGTTAATTATGAAAACCCCTAAAGAATTAGTAGTTTCTTAAGATTTGCTCTGTGCTCATTTTGCTCCCTGGCATACAATTTTTGTAATAAAATGTTTATAAAATGCAGAATTAAATAGATAAATTAATCCATATTATTTTTACAATTATTTTAAAATTTAAATGTACCATTCCATGCGTCATTCCTACCAAACTCAAACCCATTGCCATGGAATAGATTCCGACTCATAGTGACACTACTGGACAACACAGAACTATAGGGTTTCCAAGGTTATAATCCTTAAGGAAGCTGATTGCCACATCTTTCTACTATACAGCAGCTGAGGAGTGTGAACCACCAGCCTTCTGCTTAACAGCTCAGTGCCAAACTACGGTGACACCAGAGCTACTTATGTATACCTAGAAGGGCAGTAATCTTGATGTTCAACCCTGTTATGCTACTCTCTAATATCACAACAAGGAGATCTGGTGGTGCAGTTGTTAACATGATTGGCTATTAATCAAACGTTTGGTGATTTAAACCCACCAGCCATTCTGTAGAAGAAAGATAAGGCAGTCTGCTTCTGCAAAGATTTACAGCCCTGGAAACGCTATGTAGGTCACTGTGAGTCTGAATCAACTTGATAGCATTGAGTTTGGTGTGGAACATCAAAACAGGAATATTGGCTCAAATCAAATCTGTTGACACATATCTTGGGGAGGAACCAGTGTTGATGGACTCACACTCCATGGTGTTTGGAGACAAAACACTCAAAGGAAAATTAGAGAAAGGGCTTTCCCTACTATTAAGTGACCCTCAAGATAATATGTAGGCATCTTCAAAAGTCAGATATGCAAACTACTATTTCATCTGATGTAGCACCCTTCTTCTAAACATTGCTAAATAAAACCCATCTCAGGCAGGCAGATTTCTACCCTATAATTCAGGAAAATGAATAATCACAAACTCAATAAAAGCTCCATGTAACAACTCCCTACACTCTAGATAGATAACGACCCACTAACCAATGTTGCATTGTGAAAACATTATTTCTAGTCATATAAATAAATCAGAATGATATTCAGGAATATCAGGAAAATTGAGAAAACTACTATAAAAAAAAGTTTGGAGTCTCACCACTAAATCTAATAGCTTCCAGCTATTTGAGTAAATAAATCAATGGGTGATTAAACAAGGGAAGATAAATTGGTGGAAATATGTAAATCACTGTTGTAGTTCAAGTAGCCACAAAATACTTTGGAACAAAGTAATTATTTTCTACTCAAAGACATTTTTGTTTGTTTGTTTTTAAATCAGTACAATGCAATATATGTTTATTGTGCATATAGTCAGCATCTCTCATCATGACAGCAAGGATACAAAATTAAGACAAAAATAATTTATGGTCCATTTAACTATTAGCATCAGTGTTATCTTAGCTTTTTCTCCCATATAGTCTGTAGGATCCCAGGAAACCACAGATTATGAGCAAAGTTTGAAAGACTTTCCATTTAAAATGTCTGTTGTCTCCAGGGAATTCTGTAAAAGGGAGATTTACATAGAATCCATTCATAGGTTGACTGCCTGAAAGAATATCTGGGACAAAAATGATTTTTACAATCACCACATCAACCTAATCATCTGCAAAATGATCTGTGCCACAAAGGTGATAATCCCTTGTCTCATAATCTGTTTAAACAAGACTGAACAATTCAACATGTGGGTATGGTCAACCAACAGATACTGACCTACCTAGTGTTTCACAGAAAGTTTAAAAAAAAAGTGGTGGGGGGGGAGAAAAAAAGGAGGAAGCAAGAAGAGAATTATGGCATCCAAATCAAGTTATGTAGGCAATAAGAAGTTATCTTCAAAGTGAATTAAATGTGTGATAAGGTGCAAATTTAGTCAGGCATAACCATACAAATTCCAACCATCTTTGGAGGTGTCTCATTCTGTGAAAATGTGCTGGATTAATTTCACCTAAATGAATTTAAAATAGAAAGACCCAAATTCATTATTCAATATCAGTGTGAACAAATCAAACTGGAATCACCTTAGAAACATCACTTGAAAGTTCAAAGACTAGAAACTCCTAGTAGACTGACTGAGATATTCAACACCTTAGAATTCTTACTAGAATAATGATTAGAAGCATATCAATAGTATGGAATTTCTAGGTAGTTTCAAGAATCTAAAAAGTAGTCATGTGTACACACAAATACACAAGTAGACGCAAATATGCAAGTAATGCTTTATTACTTTTTAAGTATCCTCCATATGCTAGATCCTAATTCTCATATCAACAATAGAAAATAAGTATTATTATCCCCATTTTAGAAATGACTATGTGAAGAATCAGAAAATTAAATTATTTACCTTAAGCCAGAAACTAAGAGGCCAAAATATGACCTTGAATATATCCCTTCTGACTTAGAGATCATATAAAAAATAGATTTCATGCAGTGAACACCAATCACTGAAAACAAGAGGAACTAAGGAATAACATCAAGAACATGAAGAAACCAAAAGGTCATTAAAAAGACAGGAAAGGGAGAGAGGCAGGGCAAGATGGCGGACTAGGCAGAAGGATTGCACAGACCCTCTTCAACAAAGAAAAGGGAAACCAATAAATACAGACACAGAAGATAATCTTGGACCCCTGAGCCTTGAAGGAAAGGATGCAGA